CCACGTGGGAATCATTTTGAACATATTGAATAATGATTTTTCTATGTCTCTACCACTTTGATGTAGCCTCTGAGGAGAAAGAACTATCCTGGATAGACCACTTGGTCATGTTTTAACAATTTGAGGATCACTTCAAAATTCCTCAGTAAAATGTAAGGTATAAAAAAAAAAAAAAAAAAAAAAAAAGAGCATCAGAATTAAGTTCAGTTGATGAGGCCCCACCCTCCCCCTCCAAATTATAATGTAGCAACTTTTTGAACATATACTTGAAATTCACAATTCGTTCCTAATTTTAAAGCTGTATTTTATCATTTGATTAATTGCTTAAAACTGTACACAAAGATAAAGGGAACTTTGAAATTCATACCTTGGAGTATTAACATGTACTCAGGACTAGATGTAAAATGTCAGAGAGAAAAAAGATCTAATGAACTCTTTATTGGTGAAATACAGTATTGCAGCTGCCCAGAATTTTAAAAGGTTTGTAGCAAGCTCCAAAGCCAAATAACTACAGAAGTTTACTTACAGCAGGACTCTCATTCAGCATTTCCAATCTCTTCTTCCAGGGTTCTTTTAACATTAATAAAATGTCCACAGAAAAAAATAATAAAAGAAAAAAGTGCAACCGCAGAAGAATTTTTCTGTCTAGAAAATTACACTACCATAAGTTTTCCTTTTCCCTGATGTCTTCTCTGCCATAATAATGGTTTCAGGATTTAAATCCTTTGCTGCTATTGTGACTTCAAAGCCTTAAAACTGCAATTGAATGAAGTAGTTCATCTGTCATTATTCAAATATGAAGCAATTATGATGAAATAAAGATAGAATTCCATTGAGAAATACCCCAATCAATTCTCACTTATATTTAACTAGAAACATAAAACCATGCTTAGAAGAGTAAGTTTAGGAAATAAAAACTCTGGATATAAAAAGTATGAATTACTGATCTATAAGTTACTCATTTCTGAAAAAGCTGTCTAAATATATTTCACAAATATTGACAAAAGTTTAAGCTTACGATGCAAAACTGTCTCTCAGCTGGTCTCAGAGAGTGAGCAGCTTTTCAGAAATATATTTGCACCAGCTTGAGTGCCCAGAGGTTCAGATGGGAATCTGCAGTGGTTTTGGGGGGTCTCTGGGTAGGTCAGCTCCCTCTGAAGTGTGTTTTATAGGAAATAACACACCTGCCTCAGCCATGCCTTCATTTTAACAGTGAACATGGCAGTTGGACTCAATGATCTCGGAGTTCTTTTCAAACCTCAGTGATTCTGTGACTCAGGGAAAGCTATTAAAATAAAATATTGATGTGGCTGCTTTGACGTCAACACATTGTCAGGCCCCTCTGTGGATTTAGCCCCAAAATGTTTCTTTTCACCTTTTTGAACCCAACCAAAGCCCATCCCTACCCCAGGGGCTGGAATTTCACAGGGAATTCCCACTGTACCCAGTTCTGTTTGGGAATATCTAACACAGGTTAAAAAGTTAATTATTTTGTTTTAGTCTCTTCCATCCTTTCTTGCACCTTTCTTGTTTAATCTACCAATGTATAGTAATTTGTTAGTAAAATGAAATCAAGATGTGTCCTGTCACTGTCAGACAAGGACTTTTTGGGGTTTAAGCTCTTCAAACGAGCCACATCCTTCCCATTCTCAGTAATGCCACAAGCTCAGATGAAAAAATTACTGTCATGCCTTTTCCTTCACTCAGAGTAGATTGCTCTTTTGGAAGACAAAGGCATCCTTTGCTACTTGTGAAGGGAGACTTTGCCTTGTCTTTGGTGTTCCCGTGGCAGAACAGGGTTAAAAACACACAGATGGATCCCACGGTATTTCTTCCTCATATTTTCAACAGTTGCAGTGAGCTTAAGAGTTCTGTACATTTTTAAATGTAGTTGTGCTGAAAAAGATCACACATGACCAGGGATGTGCATACTCACATTTTCCTTCATTTTGTAGGCATTTTTTCACTCTACCTGGGTATCAATTTTCTGTCATCTACAGCTCCTCATGTCCTGCAGTTCAATTTGGAAAATGTAATTTCTTCAGACAATCCAAGAATGAAATGTTATCACAATTAGAAAGCCGTGGTACTTAGTATTGAATTTTAAATCAGAGATGTAACTAGCAAGAAGCATTCGGGGTATATACAATTAATTATTTCACACATAATTATTCCTGATATTACTCTAACTGTGATAACTTAAAGCATTTGAAAAAGCAGACTGCAATATTCTTCTTTTTATTTTTTCCACTGAAGCTCTTTCCCTTGATATTCTTTTGCTAAATAATATGTAAAATACTGACACCTAATGTTAACTTCCAGTATTATTCATTTTGCAAAACTTTTACTTCAGATAGGGAAAGACCATGTGAAACTGGTGCTTATGCTGCAATTTTGTTTCAGTAAAATGAGTAAACTGCAATATAGGCTTCCCTCACTTTTTGGAAATAATTTTCTGAATTTATTTATATATATATATATATGCCTATAAATGCAAGGAGATTTCAGTTTTATTATCATAAGTCACAGGTAAAAAAGAGATAATAACTCAAAACAGTTGAAATAAGTGAGTTTTGATGCACTGAATTTAATCTAATCCATCAAATGGAACACAAATACATAAAGTCAATATTTGTACCTTTAGCCTGAAATGATACTAAAAGACAAAATATTATCAAACATTTATTATTAATCGCTTAGCCTTTGCAACCTGAACTGCATATATTCAGTACTTACCTACTATGTGGTTCACTTTCCTCTGAGACACAAAAAATTATTTTCACAGTGTGTGAATCAAAGGCAGATCTCAAACTTCTCAAAAATCACTGTTTATCTCCCCAGAACTGCCAAGACAGCTTGTCCAAATTTGAGGTCCAGATGCTATTTAGAAAGAGATTTTGGGATTCTTACTCCTCTGGGGTTTGAGCTCATACCACAATAAGGTATTTTACAATGTCATGAACATCCATATCTGAATTTAAGCTTGCCTAACTTTAATGGGAAGATGGAAGATTGAGCTGGCATTTGTACACAAATGCTGCAAAGGCACTGACACTGAGTCCAACCCCTTTCAACACTGTGGACCTGCACATTTTTATATTCACTGCTTTTTGCATCAACTGTCACTTTATGGAAAATGGTCCTTCTCTAAGATCAGATAAAGTAGCTGAGCTGCAGGTGCAAGGATAAAAATAAACCCACAAAAATACAGATACCTGGCCTGCAACATAACCCAGCTCAGCTGAACCAAGGAGAGATGACGTCAGTGCAATCAAAACCTCTTGAGTGAGACAGAGCTTTCCAACTGATTAAGACTCCTGTGCTATTCTTCATAACAATATTCTGGTTAAAGAAGCTTTTTACGTGTCTTTCTCTTTACAAGTGCTAAAAATACCAACAAATGCTGTATTTGCAGTTCCTTCAGCCTTCCCCTGCATATTACAACCAATAAAATAGGCATCAGTGCAGCAAGGGTTTTAACACTACACATCTTTGGGGAATTTTAGAGAACAGGTAGGTGCTGTGAAGGCCCTTGGGTTTCCTTGTGCAGAAGGAGGTGCTCTAAGGGTGTGAGTTTCAACCAGCAAAAGCAACTTCAAGAGAAACTAGAGAAGACCTCACTCCCCGCAAAATCCTTCCTCACTCTTGAAGTAGAATAAAAAAGTATCATGGAATCAGAGTACTTTGGGTTGGAATGGACTTTTAAGGGGTCCCCCTGCCATGGCAGGGACACCCAGAGCAGGCTGCTCGGAGCCCCATCCAACCTGGCCTTGAATGTTTCCAGGGATGCATCCACCACCTCTCAGTTCCGGTGTTTCAGCACTTTCACTGTAAAGACCTGCTTTCTTATATCTATCCTAAATCCACCCTTCTCCAATTGAAAACCGTCCCCCTTGTCCTACCACACCAGTTTGTCCCTGTCTTTATTATAGGCTCCCTTCACATATTCAAAGCACTACTGGATGCAATTTTCTAAGTGTTTCATACCAAAAATGAGACACATTGAGCATCATCAGAGAGGAAGTTTCAGCTGATTCTTGGAAAACGCTGCATGAATAGCTACAAACTCTAGGGCTTAATTGCCAATTATGCCAAGGTGTTATTTATGCCTTAAAACAACTTTGGATATAGAGTTGCTGAAATGTAAGCAGTTTTTCTACATTGCTCTTGCCTGCCTGGTGCAAATCTCTGTAAAAATTCGGGCCACACGGTGAGCTAACAATGAGATGTTTTGCTGCTGCTTAAAGAGCTCAGGGTTCATTTTGCCTAATCCCAACTAAGCCTCGCTAAAGCTGCAGGGAGTGCTCATACAGCCCTTCACGCTGCCTTACACGGGTCTACAACTCTCCTCAGTTTCCTCCAGCTCCTCCTCTCCAACAGGACTACCTAGCAAGATAAAATGTTTTGTTTTGGCCAACTGTATCACACCAAAGAAGGTATCTGCAATGTAAATTCACTCTTCAATTAAATCATTCATTAAAGCAAAATTTCAAAATATTGGGCCCTTTGAAAAACTTGGTGTGCAGCAGTTTTGAAACAGTTGTTCAACTTTTACTTTTCAAGTATACCCTGTACTTTAAATAGAATTGCTAAATTAAAAATGTAAATTGGACTGTATCTTTTAACAGTTGGCGATTTGTCTATTTTCCACATTTTATTATGCATAATTTTTATAATAAAGAAGGGATTTTTTTTTTCATCCCTGTTCTAGTTGATAGCAATTTTAACATGCTTCTCAAGGCTAATGCAATAAAACTACATAAAATGTTTAAGAATAGCCCCATTAAAATATACAAAGCATACTAATTCATGAAGTCAAAGTCAAAGCAGAGTAGAAATATGAGCTTTAATAAAACTATGTCTGTTGTAAATAACTATTCAAGCACAGTCATTTTTTTGCAAATTGCATGGGATATAGCTCGGTTTACTCGAAGCAAAGAATCACTCAGCAGGATAAATGCATCTTAGTCAGAAATAGATTAAAAGGTACAGCTGAGCCATCAATAAGAACGAGATAGCACAGTATTATTTGCTGTTTGTTTTGAAGATGTAATTGCAGATCCCAGGATTTCAATAAATCTGTGCACATCAAGGAAGGAATTGTAGAGAGGAACTGGAGCAATGCGAAGAGCGTTTGGTTCTCTCATGTCACACTGCAAAACAGAGAGGGAGCATTCAGTAAATTCAGGTCACTTCTTGTCTATCTGTCAGGCTCTATTTTCAAATGCCACAACTTGTCTTCAAGGAAGAATGACTGGACTGACAAGGAAGCACATGCAAAACCTTTGGGATGCTCAAGGATCTACAGTGAGGAGCATGATTGTGAAAAATTTAGTAAGAAGAGTAGTTTTGCCTAAAAAAAGATGCAAAGCTCAGGATGGGCAGGACTTTAGCAGTGCTATTGAAGACTACAAACCAAGTATGTAGTCCCAAAATTCACTTTAATACCTATAGCAACCCAGAGTTGAAGAGGCACAGAGGTGACAAAAAAAAAAAAAAAAAGCACAACCCCCCCCATTCCAGTATGTAAGTGTCTTGTTCTAAAGGTGCAAGTAATGGCACAGGCATTGCAGTATTTTTCTTCCCCTCACTGTGATTTTGAACATTTTCCTGAATATAATAATCTCTTATATTTGAAAAATATCACTGCATTGCAAAGACAAGCCAACAGTGTGAGGCCCCGTGCCATGTTAAAAGCAGGAGTTCCTGGAATTCCCTGGCAGCACCAAAGCAGCAGCATACGTAACCTAAAAGAGGTGCCCTTTGGGGAGACAAGTGACCAGCTGAAATAAAAGTGATATCTCATTTATATGGCATTATGCTATCAGCCTCACCTCCCAGCACATCTAAATCACCCAATGTATGACCCTAAATTTCTCTTTTATTCTTTTGGAGCAGTGCTCAATGGTAACTGTGCCATCACAACGAAGTGCTGCTCAGTGGCTGCTTTTTCTGAGTGCTAAAACACACCTCTAGGGAAATGGCAGCTTTTCCATTGCTCTGTCTCAGTGTTCCACAAAGCTTTTGACCATTTGTGGATCAAGAAGGGGACTGATGTAGGTTCAAAGTTCCTTGTTGTGTAAATCTGTAGCTGTGCCTTCTGTCCTAATGCACCCATGACACAGCTCTAACCCCAGCAGTGACTCCAGAACTACTGGAAATAAGTCAACAGTGAAAGGGCAATACAGTGGCTAACAAATAATTTATAAAATAACTCTATGTATTTGATTGCTTGCACAAGTAAAAATTGAAATTGTAAGAAATTGTCATCAGTCCTAATGGGTTTTTTGCCTTATATGAAATTACATTTGAATAAAAGCAAATTAATAGTTTGTTACTTGTAAAGAAGATGAAGTTTGGTTTACTTACAGCCACTCCTCTCTTCTCCAGCTCTTTAAACACAGATTTGATTGGAAGGGAAAACGACAGAGTGAGCTGGCATCCTCTCTCCTCAATCTGAGAGGGTGTGATTATTCTTACAAAAGGCTTCTCTGGATTTGTTTTATCTTCACTGTAGTAGTGCTTTATCAGGTATTCCAGGTAACCAGTGAGTAGAACAGATTTCCTCCTCAATGCTTTCATTGTAGTTTGACTAAAAACCTGTGATGATTTGAAATTATTAGAATGAGAATGTGTTGCTGTAGAAAATTAAAAGGAAACAAAGATAGGTTTCTATTTACATTATCACTGGAATCAAGTAGTAACACCAGAGAGACATTTAACATAAACATAGCAGGATTGAGCTTTGGAAAACACAGGAAAATGTGTTTTAGATAATGACAGATATTTGTGCCTACTGTTTAGAAGTTTCGTAAGCATCTGTGTCTGCAGAAATAACTTGCATACAAAGCCAGTTTGCTCAGAGAGCATTCTTCTGCATGTCTAAAGAGAATCCATAAATCCTCTGTAGGTGTAAGAGGGCTGAATGAATCTCAAAAATCACATAAAATTTTCCCTTGCATGTACCCTTAATACATACCTTCCCACTCTCTACAGCTCCCTGAAGGGAGGGTGTAGCCAGGTGGGGTTTGGTCTCCTCTCCCAGGAAACAATTGATAGGAAAAGAGGGAACAGCCTCAAGCGGCACCAGGAGAGGCTTAGTTTGGATATTGGGAAGAGTTTCTTAACTAAAATAGTGATCAAGCACTGAAACAGGCTGTCAGTGGCAGAAATCACTGTCCCTGGAAGTGTTCCAAACCACATAGGTGTGGCACTTGCAGACACGATTTGGTGGTGGGCCTGGCAGTGCTGGTTTAATGGTTGGACACAATTATCTCAGAGGTCTTTTCCAAACTAAATGATTCTGCTAACCAAATCCAAGGACCAAGACTGAAACATCATGACTGGTGTAGAAAATCTTGTCTGTGAAAGCACAAAATGTGTATTAAGATTGACTTTACAACTTTAAGTCTTGTGCAGGGTTGCTCTCTCTAATCCACAGGAAGAAAAAAAGAAAATGACTGAATTATTTTTCAATAGCTCTGTGCTCTTGCACAGCTACAAAAACCAGTGAGTTTCAGACACTCAAAATATCATGAGGCATGCAAAAATGACGGCTTGAAAATGGCAGTGCTGTTTGGCCACACAAACAAGACCAATGTGTTAGAGGAGTTTGGGAGCAGAAGGTGAGACAGCTTCTGCTTTTGCTCTGGCAAGGCTCCATTACAGGGAATGATGGTAATGCAACCCCAGAAACAATTTACCCCTGCCTGCCTCAAACCTCCCTTTCTTTCTTCCCATGGAATTATCTGCAGAGGGAAATGATAAGGATACAGACATGCAAGTGCGCAACAGCCACTTCAAATCACATCCTGGCACATCAATGCTTGTGGACAGCTCTCCACTGACTGCTGCAAATCAGAGGCAAGGCAGTGCCCTGGATGAAAATCCATGATCTTCACTCTCAAGAAATCACTGTTCCACACTAGAGAAGTAACAATTTTAAGACTGCTTATATCATAACCTGGAAAGGCTTAAAGAGAGGTACCTGAGGAATCCTACTCAAAATATAACTAATTCTGGTTTCCAGCAGCATCTGGAAATCATTGTGTTGTAGAACATCCCAAATGTCACTCCCTGATGCTATCACAGCCACTAGATGCTGCACAAAACCAAGAACCCCTGCATTTGTGCTTGTGAAACAGAATGTGGATGCTGTAAGACAGACTTTGCAAGGGAATAAATGTGCCAGGGACCAGAGCCACCAGCAGTCAGCATTTGCACAGGTCAACAAAAATCTAGAGGTGCTTCCCTCTCCACCCATGCAGGCAGAGCAGACACAGGACTGTTCATTGCGTTACTAGAGGGAAAACAGACCTGCCTCCTATTCCTCTAGGATTTGCAGGAGTATGAGGGATGGATCTCCTTAGGCTGCATGCAAAAATCTGCTTCCACCGGCTTTGTGCAAGGAATACTTGGTCTCCTGGGTGAAATTTTTTGAAAAAGGTCTTTAAAATGTGTCTGTAGAGCGCTCCCCTTTTTTCCATAAAAGGCAGCAGCTAGTGCCATAACAGTCACTTTAAGCATTATTGAGGAATAACATCCATTAACACTTGCAGTTTTCATTGTTTCCATTGGAAACACTGCCTTCTGCTTAATGTGTCCCAGTGAAGGTGGCATGCAATTTCACTAGCCAGCTCTTGCCAGACATGAAAACTACTTTGTTTCCCACTGTATTAGAGCAATTAGCATTGGGAAATCCTGGCTGTGCCAAAAGGTAATGTGGGCAGGGGAAGGGGAGGCAGTGGAAACTGCTCAGCCCTCATTGTTCCAGGCTCCCTGCAGTGGGCTAAATGACACCAGCCCACACAAACCCGAGCACTCACAATCTGGGTCATGGCAGAACAGCTTTCAGCTTATCTCAAAGGTCACATAAAGTTTAAAACAATATATTGGATGTTTAAGGACTAAAAAAAATAAATTGTCAGGCAGAACAAGAAGCATGGCTGTGCCCTTTGCAGTCCTTCAGTGTTGCATGTAACATGGAGAGATCATAACTGGCAAATTTCTCACTTTGTTTGCTTAAGATGCTGGTTTTTCAGTAAATACAGAAGAGGGATGTGGACACAGTTCTTTGTTCCAGCATCATCTCAGCCATTCCACTGGAAATAATGGAATGCAAATCAGAAATAAATTTCTGCCATTTCTATGCTGGTGGCAAAACCTTGCTACACAAGGCTGCCTTGAAAACCAGTTAAGGATGATTTTATGGTAGAATATATTGCATACAACAGGTAAGTCTGAGTAACACCACCTTTTTAAGTCACAGAGACCAAGAGTCCTGACTTCAGAGGTGAACCATCCTTATGAGAAATGCTGGAACATCCTGATATGAAACACAGGTGTTTGGGGAACTGCTCCATGCCCTCAAACAGGGATGGGCTGTGCTCTCCAAAATGGATTAGAGGCTTTCAGCACATGGATCACACCTTCAGAGGAGGAATTATCTCTGTATGGCAGGACTGCCCTTCCCACAGCCACAGTGTCAGTGATTCACACAGAGATAAGTCAGATTTGGGGCTCTGCTCCTTTGGCCACCAGAAAACTAATGATTCAATGAAAGAAAAGACAGCTTGAAGCTATGCCACGCTCATGGATTCTTTTTTAGGAAACATTTGCAGATAGTTTCTGTCCCTTCTGCTTTCAACCAAAGGCAGAACAGGTTCTTTGAGCCACTGGATCAGTTGATACAGTACAGCCAGGACACCTAATTTTCTTTCATAAAGGATATTAGTCTGCTTTGCTGGTGGAACATAGGAAGCAGCAGCTCTAAATGCAACTTTTCAGACTTACATGATTCCTTCATAGGAAGATGCTGAGCATAATCCTTCCCGTCAGTAGTATTGAGACAAGGCACTGTTGGACTTGGTGATCTCAGAGATCTCTTCCAATTTTAATTATTCTATGATTTTGAACCGTGAATATTTCTATGGGATAAAGGTGCTGTTTGTACTGATCTCCTAAAAGCAGGGACAAACACATTGCCTGAGTTCAGGTTTGGAGGTGCAAATCTAAAATACTCTCAGTCCAACTCAGTGTTCTCCAGCAGAGTTTGTGAGAGACATGGGGAGATGAGCATATTCATTAAAGGCCATGGTCTGTCAGGGCTGTGGGGTTATTTTGTTTGCTTTTCATTACTTCTCTCCTTCCATGTTCAAATATTTCATAGTTTTCTTTAAGGGAGACAGCAATAACACACGTAACATTCATTAAACATTTTTATACTCTTAAATTCAGGCTCAAAGCAAAGCAATTACTTACCTCTAAACTGGCATGCAGAGCGCAGACCAGTAAAATTGGAGGATTTGATAACCGGAATCCATTAATTCCTTCACTTAGTTGTAATTCTGGAAAATGAATAACTTATATTAGTGTTTTTGATTTCTTCATTTTAATGGATTGGACCTTATCTTGAAGTCTGTCCTCACGCAGTAAAATATTTCCCTAATGTGGCCCGTAGGAATCGGTCATTAAAAGGAAATAGTAATCTATTCCCAACTAATACTTTCAACTTCGAGAGAAGCCCAATTTTATCCAGCAGAAGACCTCATTAGCAGCTTCATGGGAACCAGAGAACTGCAATTAATTTGTTTAAATGGTGTGTGCTAAAACCACCTTTACACTTGAATCTCTTTTAAGGCTGGCACGAGGCAGAGGAATTCCAAGTCAGCAGAGGCACGCTCACGCGGAGCAAGGAATCACGTTCCTTCACTTTATTGAGCTGATGAGACACATGGGAGGCTGCATATGCAGCTAAGTGTAGCTTCAGGCCAAGGAGAGGAGCTGCCTAGACTTTGGGCTGTGAAATTTCACAAAATCTATTTAATAAATCCACAAAAGCCTCGCTGTAAGTTCTGTGTCACCGTTGATATTTCATGCTCCAGCATCAGAGCGGGAGGACGTGGCAGAGGAAACGCTTTTCACGCACAGCAGACTGACTAATTTTATAATGCCCAACTTCTCCCCTGTAAACTGCTCATGGAAATGAATAAACAACGTTTTTTCTTCTTCTAGCAGTATTTCAAGGCAATTTGTGTCTCCTGCTGGCTTTCTATAGTGCCACTCTTTTGCATTTGGTCTGAAAACAAAGAGCAGACTGAGGCTATTAGAGAGGTGCTCTCCAGCCAAAGCCATATCAACAGGCGCTGCCACAGAAAATTAAAAATATATTAAAAAACAAAACAACCAATCAAACCAAAAAGCTCCTTTCTCATCCTGATCCCTCAGGATATTCTCTCTGCCATAGTTTAAACTGGAGCTGAACAGCCTAGCTGTCAGATTTGGAAAGAAGTTCTCATTTTGTGTTGGGACAATAAACACTATTTCAGAGCAGGTTTGTCTTACAACCCATCCGTCCCTTGTGCAGGAAATTTGGAGATGCTGAAACATTAGTGGGATTTCATGACTTCTGTCAGGTTGCCTTACCTGAATTTGTATAATTTCTCATTAATTCCAGTAGAACTAATCCTGAAGAAAGATATAACCCCAGTGACAGATAGCAGATCCTAGCTCCTCAGAGACTTATGAATTTAATTCACTGAGATACTTTGAAAGTTTCATCCATATTCTATATCTGCTTTTTGAAGGTATTTCAGCAAAATGTCTAGGAGCAGACAGTCAAACCCTTCTGCCCACACACAAATTTATTCCAACATTTATTTTGTTAACTCCACTGCCTCACATATTTAGGATGAGGAAATGCAAAGTTCTGTCCTCCTCAAACTGCTACATAAATGAAGTTGGTTATATATAAATAAATAAGGCAAAATTGTGAGTGTATAAATACATACTGTTTTCCATGAGGAATCGTGTTTTGAAGTCATGGCCCCACCAGCCTATTAGCCTAAGATTTTTTAAAGAAAATAAATTAATAGAAATCTTATTATCTTTTCATTTAGCTTTGAGTACTAAGAATTATATAGGATTGAGCAATATATAAATTTCTAATAATATATTTTATTTCTAACAATGACATAAAAATGCAATAAATTCTATAAAGAGTTAGCACTAAAAACTTAACATTACCAACTGAGAATTTCTCTTTTACTGCAAATAATAAAACACATCACATCTTTCAATTAACTATTGATTTTAACAATATCCATTTTCTCTGAATTCACGTCAAAAAACCAAAAAATAGTTGAGACATATTTCCACTGTTTAGTTCCAAGATATGAAATTCAAAACATTCTCCCCTGCTCTTAAACTTAATGAATATTGAAAGCTAAAAGGAGTTATAAAATCTGACTTAGTTTCACCAAGAAAAGGACATTTTGGTGAACAACAAGCAAATAAGACCTTGGATAAAGATTGTGTGGGCATTGTTCTCACTGTGAGACCAGTGTGAATTCTGCATACACTTTTATTTTCTTGAACTAAACTTACTCTTCAAAAAACTTGCTTTAAAATAAAAACCAGTGAAGTTCAATGCTATATTCCCTTTTTAAAGATCATCTTCTGAAAAAAACAACCTCAAAAACATATAATTATTTTAAAAATATGTAATTATATGTCTGAGCTTGGACATTACATTATTAACTCATATTTAATGGAAACTATGTTTGAGAGCATTGCTACAAACAGTTTTCTAAAGCAGCTGGATGCACTGGATCACCTACTGCCAGAGCATTGCAGATAAAACCAATATTGCAAAACCAGGGACTTTTTCCCCACCTACCTTGGGTTCTCCACTTCTTATCTCAGCACACAGCGATATCAGTGATTAACAATGCCAGTACTACTTGAGATTCCCCTGTATCAATGCTTTTACAATATCAACAAGTCCCCATCACAGACTCCTTCCTCAACTTCTCAGCTCTCCAGAGCTGAACATGTTGGACACCATTTCTGCCAAGGCTTCACTCATTTTTACCTATGCCAGATAGCAAAATTTTAGGAGTGAAATCTGACAAAACTTGTAGTGATAAAAAAATCTGTATTTAAAGGTCACAGTAGGTCAGCCTTCCTGGAAGCAAACAGGGAAAAGAAAGTCATGGCCCCTCCCTAAAGGAGTATTTTGCAGTTTGCCTAAAAGAGCTGAGCTCTGCAGAATTAAGACCACATTTGAGTTAGAAACTTGTTATATGAATACTGCAGAGTGTAAAATGAAGTAGTTTGTATTTCTGTATAACAACACAGGTTTTATGTTTACTTCTGTAAACTGCATCTAAACAGAGGCTCTACAGAAAAGAATGTTTTTTTCTTTACTGCTGCATGTGTTTTTTATTATTCTCAGACCCATGAAAATTAATAGTGCAATATACATCCATTTTAAATGAGATATTACATTGCCAAAATGAATACACCCGAAATAAAGTACAACAGAGACTCTGCCCAAGTGACTCTGTTGCTGATGCTTCGAATCATAAAAGATATTTCAGTTATTTTATAGGAACTCTATAATATATAGATAACATTGCACTGAAAACCCTGAATATTGCATGTTCCTGCAACAATCTGCTGATATCAATATCTACACACATTCTGTGAATTTCAAAGGTTTGAAGCAGAAAAGAAATTCAAATGGAAATAAAACATCTGGACAAATAGTCTGTGAGAAGAAGAAAACAATACTATGTTCCACTTGGACCACACCCAGAAAGCAAAGACAAAATACAGATCAATCAGACCATTAACCAGATCAGGGCTGATGAAAAGCTCCCTGGTTGCACTTCAAATGCTCAAAACTCACTAATTCTGAAGTTGGCTTCAACCCAGATCTCAGCTGCAGCACCACGGAGGCAACTTGGAAAGTGAAATTTCAAAACTTTTCCAAAATGACAGAATGAAGGATTTTTTTTTAAAAAAAACAGTTTTAGCTGTCTTGCCCTTTCCTACCATAATCTGACAATTTGCTTTTCCTCTTTTTTATTTTTTCTCTTTTGGCTGTTCTAGAACTTCAGAGGTGTCACTGCAGGATGTGCACTTTGAGGCAGCTCTGGTCCTACACTCTCATTGATCTAATGGTCCATATGGATGTCACGTTATTTGACATTTAAGTTGACAGGCTTCAAAATGTGGAAATTAACAAAATCTTCACAAATTATAGCGATTTGCTGTTTACAATTTTCTGTGAAAATTTTGAAATGAAGGTTGCCACTGCTATGCCAAATTTCAACCTGTTGTGATGGGAGAGAGCTAAGGTGTTAAACCCCAAACATAACGCTTTATAAATGCTCACTAAAAATAATAGGCAATAAAACTGCACATTAACTTACTGCAGTAAAATTTCTTATTAAAGAGTTGTTACTCTGCATGCAAAATGAGCATTTTGAACTGCAGTCGCCATTTCAACTGTTCCTGCCTCAAAAAAAGGCACCAAGATCCAAATAGATTCTGAATTCCAATCCATAACTTTTGGCAAAATATGTAGAGTGGAAGGTTCTGAAAAGCCATATATGATGTGCCTGTGATTAAAAACACCTTAAACATGTTAGCAATGGGACTGTCAAGTTACATGCTTCCCATGGCAGATAAAACCCATTGTGGGAAGTGTGTTAAAATCAGTATCTAAGGAGAAAAAGGTCTAATTTAGCAAATGTTCCACTACAAATTAAAAAATGCAAATTTATCCAAACTGAGCCCTTGTTTTAACACATCACTAATCAAGATCGTTGTCTCAATGATGGATAAGTTTTGGTTGCAGCAACCTGCTGCCAGTCCCAGGTATCCCCAGCAGCACCCAAGGCTGGTCAGCAGAGATGCTCCTGGAACACCTCCACAGAGAACATCTCTCCATTCTGGAGCAAAAACATATTTGAAATCCGTCGAGAAATCATGCCTAAAATGAGAGTAAATTACTGTCAAACTAGCTGTGTCTTTTTCTGCAAGGTGAGCATGCTCTTACAAACCCACTTCTGTTAGAAAATAACCTTTTAAATAGATTGTTCCATTCTCTGCTTCAAATAAAACCATTGCCATCAGAGAATGCCTTGGGTTGCAAGGCACCTTGAAAAGCATCTCTTTCCAAGCCCTGCCATGGGCAGGGACACTTTCCACTGGACCAGATTGCTGAAGGACCCATCCAGCCTTGTCTAGGTCCTCACAGATAACACTGAGACATTCCCAGGGAATTCTGCCACTTCCAATCCTTATACAGATTTTTTACATGTGCCACATAAAATTTAAAGCAAACTTATTAGCTCAGTTTCATGAAACAAGTAAGAACATAATTAAATATTGCTGAAAGGTTTTCAAATTCCTGTTGTTTTTGTTTTTGTTTTTTTTCTCCAAAATGTTCTCTTGTTTTGCAAATCAATGAACAAAGGTTTACTGGGTTGGAAAATGACTGCAGAAAGGAGCAGTATCCTCTTATTTAGTCATAGTCTCTTTAAGGACATTTACACCAGGGAACAATCCCTTCAATAAGTATTTTTATTTAGCTCATTTTCCTCCTTCATATCTATCTGCATTAGACTGAAGCACTGGTTGTTCATAACTTGAGTCATCTCATTTGTAGTTGTATTAATGATGCAGGAGTGCAGGATATAATGATTGTGATGTATGTGCAGCGTGTAAACATCAAAGAAGACCCAGTTAAAGAACACAGAAAAAATACCAAAAAAAAAAAAAATCCTCTGACCTTTGCTTCGGCATTACAGATGATCATGCTACTCATTTATAATTTACAGCCTGGAGCAACACGGGTCTCATTTCCCTTCTCAGCAAGAAAAAGAGACAGAAACTCTTGAGCAGTGATACAGAAAACAGGGAAATGCCATTAATGTGGCCCAGCTTTTACAGTTCAGGGCAATGCGTTGAAGTATCCTGTCATTAAATTGTGTAAGATAATCATTTCAAATCCAGAGGAAGGCAAGTTGAAAAGCTACAGGAATACAGTGTGAAATTTGTAATACTTGATTTTACATCTTCCAGCTTCCCTGGGCATGGAGCAGTTTGTTTAGTCTCCCTTATCAGGTCACAAAGCAAGCTGGAAATTTCATAGTCATTATTTAGATTATATTAGGACCATATACCAGCAAAGCATGTTATGTTTATGAAAGGATGGATTAAGCCAAATCATAAATGGGCAGTTTGGGGCCAGGCTGTGTCCACAAAGGAGCTGATGTAGCTGCTGGGTGGCAGCTAAGCTCTTCATTCACACATTGCTTTAATTTTGCAAAAGCATCCAGGTGTTGGCAAAGATTTCTTTGATTTTTTTCATGCTTCTGTTCCAGCCATGAGAAAGAATCAGCTCTGAGGAGTTAATGAGACTTGTCACTGCTCCCAAAGTTCATTACACAGAGCCAGGAGGATCTTATGCCATGTCTGCAAAGGCAGCATTGTGCAGGGAAAAGAATGAAAGGGCCAAAAATAATAATTAAGTTCAGTTTCCTACAATCCTATATGTCCATGGCACAGCTGGCTGTTTGAGGAGCACATCTGTGTATCAAAGCACCCTGAAGACCTAAGATGGGCAAGCAACAGACACTGTCACAAGTTTAGAGGAAAAAGGTTAATTGTGACTTAAATATCACTCTCTTAGCAGGAAATGTGTGACAAAAAGAACCATGAGGTCTTAGAAATTAAACTACAAAAGGACATAGAAAGTCTGGAGGCTGGAGCCAGCCTGGAGCTAGGAAAAACCCTTATCAGATCATGCTGGATCATCATCATCCTTTTGCCTAGGAGAACGTGGTGGTACCACATCCAAAGCCCAAGCTTTCATATTTCAAATTCCAGGATTAAAAAAACCCAAACCAAACCAAATAAATAAAACCCCAAACCAACAAATGGTACAATCAGTTCCTCAAACCCAAAAACATTTCTAAATATGCCTTATAAACACATATGAATCTCCAGTTCAACTGAAAGTTTAATTCCATATTCTGAGGAACATTCCTC